GCGCTAAAAGTTCTGCTGCTGCTTGTTCAGCTGTCATTTTACCTTTTAAAATGTTTTAAACGGTTATTCACAAAATTTATTCTTTGTATTCTTTGTTCATGAAATATGTATTTATGGTAAGACGAATTTTTATTGGTGTTAATAAATTTCTTAATTTAGATATTAATATTTAACACCATTTTCTAGTGTAATCAGGTGATTATCGATCAATTATAAAAAAAAACCACACGAAAACAACCGAAACAATACCAAAACTTATTAAAATAAATAAGAAATAATCTTATACAATAATAATTAAGTTTTATTTAATTTAAGTACCCTTTATTTGCTCAAATATCCTGAAATACCGATCGCTTACAAAAAAAGAAAACCAAAATAATTGGTAATTATTTCATTAGCCGGATAATACCGATGCTTTGATATTTTATTCACAAACGCTCAATTCAGTTTGCGATTGGTCAAAACAGGATGGTTCAATACAATACATTGATGTTTTCTAAAAAGTCGGAATGATGGGATGGGAAGATTATTTGAAATTGTTGACAGCTTTATAAAGGAAGGAGCGAAGTTTGGAAAAGAAATAATAATTCAAATTAAGTCCAAGGATCTATACCGGTAGTGAAAGTATTCTATAATTTATCAAATATATTGATCTCAAATAAATGAATATTTAATTTGGATCTCAGTTATAATATCTTGAAAATCCCTTACCCATCCAAATATCGCGAATACCAGTTGTCTACAAAAAACATGAAATAATTAGTAATTATTTCGTTAATAAAGAAATGAATCAAAAAAAATGAACCTTACTTACTCAAATATCCCGAATACCGATCGTCTATAAAGATGAAAAAAAAGAAACAATTAGTATTAAATTGTTTCGTTAAAGAATATTCAAAGAAATCCCCTCATCAATTACCATGAAATCAAGTATCCCGAAGTACCGATTGCCTACAAAAAAAAATAAAATAAAATAAACGAAACAATTAGTAATCGTTTTGTTAACAAAAGAAATATAAATTATTTTTAAAAAAAAACCCTCACCTAGTCAAGTATCCCGAAATATTGATCGTCTACAAAAAAGAAAATAAATGAAACAATTAATAATCATTTCGTTAACAAAGAATTCTTTAAAAAGAACTCACATCCATTCAAATATCCTTGCCCAAAGACTCGAAAATTCAGCCGTCTAAAAAAGAAATATCAGAACTTAGTAAATGTTCTGTTAAAATAAACAACTAAGGTAAAATAATAAATACCCTTACCAAAATTTCCACGCGCCTGTTCAGACCATCTAAAAAATGGAGGAAACGAATGTTAGTGTTCTTCGCTAAAAGAAACAAATTAAATTAAAAAAAAAATACTTACAAAGGAGTTTGAAGAAATCAACTAAAAGAAAAATGAAACGTTTTATTAACGTTTCGTTAAAAATTATAAAAAATTCAAAGTTTTACCTTCGAAAACCTATATAACCGGCCTGAAACTTGTATAACAAAATTTTTGAAATTTAAAACAGGTTCCGGGCTTGATAATATTGAAAGCTGTGACAATGGAGATTCGGAAATTTGTTGATAGGAAGCATTTATAGCAAAATCAGTTGATTTTCAGACGCAGTATTGTGGTTATCAGTGCTTCCGATTATCGATCTTGTAGTATCATGCAAGTTGACTATCGGTTTACCTGTGTGAGTAAAACTACTATGCAAAATTCGTAATTAATTACATATTATAATCAAGTATTTTCCCGAAAAAAAAATCCGAATTTTTTGGAATTCTACACTTCTGAAGATAAAAAATTCGCTACTGAGAATTACCCTTTTAGGCTGATCTGTGGCTCGTACTTAAACTATCATAATCATGTGTTTTTCAGAAAGAATATTCCGAAGGTTTACCCTTATATTAACTATATCTGGTATATTATCATAGTTTACTTCTGGACGCTATTTTTAAATTTCAAACGGAAAGAAAAAAATATATTTTCAGCATTAATTTCATATAAACTAGAGTTTATGAGCAATTATAATGTGTGTACTTGGTTTCTGATATTTTTCGTGGACTTATAACTTGTGTATGACCTTTTATTTTAATTTATTTGATCTTAAAACAGGCCTTTTTATGGGCAATATTATGGTCTTTCGCGTTTAATGAGCAATTATAATTCATGTATAACGGCCTTTTATTTTGATTTTTTAATGGGTAATTTTATTCATATTCTTATTTGATTTTAATACTTTTTCATGGACAATTTTAAATTTATGCGTTAGTGATGGTTTTTCCATTTGATCTCTAATATTTTTCGTAGGAATTTTTAATTATGGTGATGGTCTGATCTCTAATGGGCAATTATAATTCATATATAGTGGTCTTCCTATTTGATCTTTAATATTTTTATGAGTAATTTTGATTTATGTATTGTGGCTTTCATATTTTGATCTTTAATACCTCACTTTCGTGAATTTAATTTATGTATGATGGTCTTATTATTATTTGATCTTTAATATTTTTTTTGTGGGCGTGCGATAGTCTTTTCATTTAATTATTCACAGATTTTTAATTTATATGTAATAGATGCAATTTTTTTT